CTCACCAGTTTACAGATCTCAGTCTGGTTGTCAGTTCCAAACACTCTCTACATTTTCCTTCTTGTGAAGAAAATACTTTTACCCAAAACGAGCGCAAGTTTTTGGAAGTTTGCGCATGCGCAATAAGGAACGCTCGATCGCGGAACGCGAACGGAAAAAGCGTCGAGAGAGGAGGCGTGGCTGCTGAGGTGTGTGAGAGGAGTGCATGCATGTGATACGAGATGTGAATCCTTAACGTCCTATAAGTGCAGCTACAGTCTCCGGCTGAAGCACTTTTCTCCAGTTCCACGACGACCCTAAGTCTACAATGGCTACGAGTGTTCCTTCCCCGGCAAAAGCGAGGCAACTGTACGTGAGGACGCCTCTCCTCTGCAGCAGAAAGCTCTCCGAACGTGTTGGAGCCAACGTCTGGCTGAAAATGGAGAGTGTGCAAACGTCTGGCAGCTTCAAAACTCGGGGTCTCAGCAACTTCGCGAAGAAAGTAAGTAAGCAAATAGGTTTTGTTTGTAGCGATGACTGTGTGTGTGTCTGTGTGCAGGCGGTGGAGAGAGGCTGTACCAGGTTTGCCAGCTCCTCTGGAGGGAACGCGGGACTGGCTGCTGCCTACATAGCACGGCAGCTGGGCCTCCCCATCACTGTGGTGGTCCCCGAGACGACGCCGTCGTTCATCGCGGACAAGTTGAGGGAGGAGGGGGCTGAGGTGGAGGTAGTGGGGAAGGTAAGAGGCTTCCTGTCTTGTGACTGTCATAGGAACTGGTGTCAGGGAATACAGACACCTCTCAATGCGAATATCTCTATAATTAGGTATGGGATGAAGCCAATAGGAGAGCTATGGAGCTGGCCCAACAACCTGGTGAGTTGACACGTGTATTATATCTACATCCTCTTTTTGCAGCACAACCTCATAAATCATTTCCCCATACATGGTATAGGCGTTTTTTTGAAGGTCGTTATTATCCACGTCATTATTAATATCCACGAGCATGAACACATGAAATCCTGCCAGAACCTTTACCCCTACTTTATTAACCTTTACTTAACCCCTTATAACCTCCTTGACCTTCCGTCACTCACAGGGTGTGAGCTCATCCATCCTTTCGATCACCCTGACATTTGGTAAGACTTCCTCTATATGCCCTATTGTGTCTGAGTAGGATATTGTATTCCCTGATCCTGGCAGGATATCCTATAGTGTTTCCTTAATTCAGGGAGGGACATGCCTCAATAGTGGAGGAGATACAAGAGCAGCTGCAGGGTGTGACCCCGGACCTTGTGGTCCTGAGTGTGGGAGGAGGGGGACTGATGAACGGGGTACTGGAGGGAATGGCACGAGTTGGCTGGACGCAAGTCCCTCTCTTAGCCATTGAGACCCAGGGAGCTCACTCTCTCAATGCCTGCGTCGCCGCCGGAGAGTGGGTGGAGCTTGATGACATCACCAGTATAGCGACGTGTCTGGGAGCCAAGAGAGTGTGTGAGAGATCGTACCAGTGGCTGTCTCAGCATCCTGTTCTCACTGCCACTGTCACTGACAGAGAAGCCGTCTCCGCATGCATCAACATTGCAGGTTTGCCATAAATCAATGCAGCAAATGTGTAGGAATCAGGATTCCTTCAAAATCTAGCTGATTAACAGCGCACAGCAGGTTCCAATTTCCGTCAGTTGATGTACACATCAAAACTCTCTATATTACTGTATTGGGTTTCCACGTCATTATCATTCCTCTCCCTATCTTTGCCAGATGACCACAGAGTGCTGGTTCCCCCAGCCCTGTGGAGCAGCTCTGGCCGGACTCTATACTCCATCAGTTTTGGAGACGGTCACTCCCAAACTGCCACACCCCTTAAGAATGTGGTGGCCATCCTCTGTGGTGGGAATGGGGTTAATCTGGAAACTATTCAGCAGTGGAAGAAAAACATATAATATTTAATTTTTCAACTATTGTTTCCAGTGCCACTTTCATACATCATCTGTATTATCTCTCATCAAAACAATGGTCCAGTACAAAAATAATATCAGAGGTATAAAATCAAAGTTCATTGAATGTGTTCTTCATCAGCGACTTCCTTGATAGAGAGGAGCTCGAGAGTTCCTCTGCCTTTGGTCTCCTGCCTCACTGCCTCCTCCACCACTCTGTAGCACCCTGGGTCCATCAGACACTCCTGCAGAGAGGGAGGGAGGCGTATATAGGGGAGAGGTTGATAAGTTCAGTGAAATATCCAAAACAAGGGACATCTTGGGGATTTTAAAGCACCCGATATTCTCTTGAGTATGGGGCTGAGCCAAATTTCTTTTCATTGACAGGGTGTGTTTTACTGCACACTAGCGTTGCTTCAGTAAACGATAAACATTGAACATATGAACAGTACAAGTCCAGTAGTATAATTATACTGACAATGCAGAGTTGGTCGCTGTCCCACTCCTCGTGCTGGACTGTGAGGTGGGGCAGAATCTTGTCCCTCACGTGGCGAGCCTCTCGTGCAGGCAGCGTCACTTTCAGCCTCATGCTGGCTCTCTGGAGGGGAATTGTCTCCTGGAGGATCCTGATCACCTCCAGGGCCTGTACATACACACCGTCATCTCGATCACAGTGGGGAGAATGAGAGAGGCCTATATACCTGTTGTTTGGTGTTCTTGTGAGGTTTTAGAGAGACGTGTGCGTCCCTCATGGCTCTCTCAACCACACCCACAGTGTACGGTCTCTTGGTCTCTGGATTCACACATTTGTCAGCCACAACGGTGGCCACATCTCTGAACGTAGACTCCAGCTGCGACTGCCGCTCCTTCTCAGACACCTGCACCTCTCCTTTCTCCAGAATCTTACCACACCAGTGATACACCACATGGCGCAATGTATTAACACAAAATGGCACACTGAACCCTCCCATTAGCTGACAGACTGA